AGGTAATTTAGTCGAGGTTGTCAACTAAAATTTTAAATATAAAATCAAAATAATTTAATTAGTGGATTGCTAGAGTCAACAGGTAATATGAACAAAAAAAGGATTTTAAATACATGGGGTGCTGTCCTTGTATTTCATATTATTTTCAGCTACAAAGTTTTTAATTGTCTTCCTGTAGTCACAGAGTGCTTATACTTTGTGGGCGTGACATAGTGAATCTCAACTTTCTCAATTCCTGACTTTCTTACATCTGCATTTGTAATAAAATGATGTTAATAGAGTTTACAATTGCAATTTATAGAAGGTAGCATATCCAAGTAGATGTTCCACTGTTAGAGATATGAGTTCCACTTTTACTGTGTGATCTAAACCACAATGTCATCTCAGACCTGGAGTCCCTTGAACTCTTCTAGGAACCCTTCAGTCCTATTATGTTGACTTAGTTGGCCTCATTTCTAACTTATGTCAGAAATTTTACTGTTTGAGGGATATAGCAAATATTTTTGACAAAAATCCAAGACCACCTAACAATTTTACTAAGAGTTAGCATAAGCCTCTTATCATAATCGCTATGGTTCTTAGATTAATGATGTAGAGAATTGAAGGAAACACTATTAAAATGACAAGGGAGTATGTGGAGTAGAACCAAGGATGTTTAATCTGATTGGAGTACCATTTATAAGTACTTAGTTTCACCATTTCATTGTTGTGATTTTGCAAGATTTTACTCTTAAAAATATCAGAACTCTTAAATTAAATTAAGAAATTATTATGAAAATGTTAGATGAATAAAAAGTTCCTTTTTTTTTCCTTTCAAAAAGTTTTACCAACCTGTCTAGCAAGGAGTTCAATATAGCACAAAGGTAAAGAGCTTGTGCCTTGGGGCCAGAGTGATGTGAATGGGAAACCCAGATCTGCCACTTGGGGAAATTATTTAACTTTGTGAGCCTCAGTTTCAGCATCTAGAACATGGCATAATAATAGCATCAATTTCATTTAATCATTTGAAGATTAAAATAGATAATGAATAAAGTACTAGCACAGTGGTTGGCATATAGAAAACAACAAACATTAGTGATTATTATTATTAATGTAATTTTCCACTACTAGCTATAATTATGGTTCATTTGACCAAAATAAAATTTTATAGGCAACACGATTCTACTATACATTTTCAGGTAAAGATATATCTTATCAGTGGGACTTGATGACAATTGTTGCAAAATGAGGATTAAGCAGAAGATATGATGGCGTGTCTACGGTCTGTATTGAAGAATGAAAACACGTATGTTCAACAGCGCATTATTGTTCAGTGGGATGTCACTGCCGTGACAGGATATGAACTTCTCAATGTAAAAACAGAGAGATGTGATCTAGCCAGAACTGCCAGATCATAATTTTTTTTTCCCATTGAAAGGCTTAGTTGTCTGCGTCCCCTAATACACGGCGAAATATACATTGTCAACATTCCCTTTATCAGTGAAAATTTAAGGAAAAAATAAAGTCCATGCAAAATTGAGTGGTTCTAAAGCAAAACACTAAAAAGGGGCTAACTAACACATACTCATTATTTTTCTCTAAACTTTACTGAAATGACCGACTTTGAAATGGCTTAAGGAAGTGAATGTCTTTCTGTGTGTCTACTACAATGGTGTAGTAGTCCCAAAGATAGCATGCAATGTGGCAGTTGCTATGGTAACAAGATGTTTTTCATTGAACAACAGTAAAAAAATGGCATATAAATAACATATGTACAGTATATTGTCTTTGAGTGAATGACCTTTGCCCTTGGACCATAAGAACATGTTTTCTTCTTTTCTGAAATTCTTGTCTATTTTTGATGTGCATATGTATCTAATAGACTGGTAATCAAACTGCCCTCTTTGAAGCTATACAGGGTACAGATCTGTGGTGAGGAAATGAAAGGTGGCTCAACATTGTATATGTGGTTAAAAAGAGTTGATGGGTTGGAAATTAAAGCACTTGAGCTAGGTACTGCGCTGAACACATTTCACACTTTACAAGCCCACTTTGCAATTCAAACTTATAGTGGGATTATATTTTTTTAGCATTTGTTAGGAGGACTATTATATAGCAATTAGTTGTTTACACACACACACACACACACACACCCCTCACAGCATAGCCGTAGGCAGAGAAGTTAAAAATCTCTTCTGTTCAGAGAGTTAGTAGTGCTGAAGAGACAAAGGCACTGCATTTGAAGTACCAGGATTGCCCGCCTAGGTTTATCCCTCTCCTGCTCTCTGGCCTTGGGCAAGTCATTTAGTGACCTTCTTATCTGTAAAATGGAGATAGGGCTAACCTATCACAGAGAATAGGCGAGGGTATCAAAGTAGCAAATGCAGATGAGACTGCTATGCAAATGCAAATCATTGTTCTTATCAAGTATTATGAAAAGAAATACTTAGTAGAGTCAAATTTTGAAATAGTCTGCCTTGCTTGGCTTTAAAATGATTCAACTATTTTCTTACTTCATGGTCAACTAGTCAATGTTACTCAGTAACTGTTGACCTTTTAGATTATAACATATAAACGTGCTAGTTTTAAAAATGTAAACTGACTTGCGTATTTGATAGTATGGCAGATACTCTGAATGCTTCTGACTGAAATAATCATAATTGGAGAGTAAAATTATATGTTTGTGTATATGTGTATATGTGTGTATAAAATCTATTTACACATAGAGAATTATATGAATTACATATAATGCATGCGTATATATGTGATGTATTTATGTGTATATATATATAGAGAGAGAGAGAGATGGTACATATATTATACATCTAGATATTTTGTATTTAAGTCTTCTAGAGTTCCTGGATCCAATTCCAATATGGGAGGGGATCCACCTCACACAACTTTGAGCAAGTCTCAGACATCAACAGGGTGTCAATTCAATTTTGACACTGTCTACTCAGAGATAGCATCAGATTCCACAGGTTAAGGGTTTAGTCCCTCAAGACTACCCTCTACCCCTTACTTCAAATGCCAGTGACAAGCCCCAGGCTGTTACCTGTGCTTCTGACAGATGAGCTAGGTTAGAGTTTCCAATGACCTCCTCCTTAAGTTTGATTAATTTGCTAGAGCAGCTCACAGAACTCAGGGAAATACTTAACATTTACCAGTGTATTAAAGGATATGATAAAGATACAAATCATAGCCAGATAAAGAGATACACGGGGCGAGGTCCTATAAACAAAGGAGTTTCTATCTTCATGGAGGTTGGAGCCAGATTCCTCCGCAGATGGGAATGTTCTGGGTCCCCAAGCATGGAAGCTCTCTGAAAAAAGGCCAAAAAGCTGTCCTTGAGTTTTTATAGAGGCTTTATTACTTAGTCATGATTAACTGAGTCACTGGCCATTGGCTGATTCAACCTCTACCCCTCTCCCTTCCTCAGACATCAGGGAGTGGGACTGGTAGTTGCAAGCCTTAATCACAGGGTTGGTCCCACCCTTGGGCAATCAGTCCCCACCCTTGGGTGGAGTCCAAAAATCATCTTCATTAATAATAAAATACCCATTGCACCTTTATTGCTCTGAAGGGTTTTCCAGATGAAGACCAAATATAGCTGAAAAATACATTTTGGTCATCTGAATGACCAAATATATATTTCTTATAAATCTTTATATTGCAGTAGGATATAGGTATATAATAGGCATCCATATATAGATATATATATATGTACACACACATACATGCATATATTTCATTATTGGCTTGGCACACAGATTCAAAGAAGCTAAGAACAATGTAAAAGCAGGACATTTGGGAAGGCACTTGGTTGGCCCTTGAGTTTCTGCCCAACTCTAGAAAACCTGTGATTTTTGTGTTGATGGAGAGCAGGGAAGAACAGGAAATAAACTGTAGGATGAAACGTCTAATAAGAAACCCATTACATAAGTAGGATCTGTGAACACTACAGAGTTAGTGTATAAGTGAACAAGAAATAAAGTCAAGCTTCAAAGTATGAGTATGCAATAAAAGACTGTAAAGAATGATAACATGGATTTGAAAATGATCCAAGGACTCGTAGAAATAAGAATATCAATAATAATACTGTGACTTTTATTCATCCCTTGATCGGAAGTCTGCAAAGCACACAATAAGATATCAGGAAAGAAATAAAATAAATACATATTATAAAGGAAGAAAAAACATTCATAGTTATTGAATGATGATATGATAGTCAAGATTGAAATTGCAGAAGAATCTTTATGTCAGTTACTAGAATTAATAAGAGGATTAGCAAGATGGCTCAATATAAAATCAATATACAAATATATTAAATTGTATTCAACAGCAACAATATATTAGACAATATATTTCAAATATAAAATACTCTATTTAATATCAAACTGTTAAAGTGCCTAGAAATAAATCCAACAAAAAAATGCAAGCTTGTGATATAAATCTAATTAAATTGAAATATAGCCAATGTTTATGACTGAAAGACTCAATGCCATAAAAATATATTTTCTTTAAGTTGAATGATATTCCAACCAAAACTCCAACATAAAATTTTATGGAATTTAACAAGCTGAATCTAAAATTTGCATGGAAGATTGAATGACCAAATATAGTTTAGACAATTCTGAGAGAGAAGATCAAAGTAGATAGAATGACGATAAAAAATATTAAGATCTAATATAAAGCTAAGATATTAAGACAGTGTAGTGACAAAGTGCTAAACAAATATTCAAATGGAACAGAACAGAGATATCAGAACAGACGTGTGCATATATGGAAATTTGATTTATGACAATATAGACATTATAGATCACAGTGGAAAGAATATTTTTTAAATTTATTTTAAATAATTTATCCTAAGATAATTGGCTACCCATAAAAAAGTGAAATTGAATCCATAATTCATATATGTACAAAAATCAATTCTAGGTAGATTAAAAACTTAAATGTGATTAGCAAACTATACAAATGTTAAAAGACAGAGAATTAATATCTACAAATCATTAAAAAAAAGACAAACAACTCAGTAAAAAATTGGGCAAAAGAATGAACAGACATTTCACAGAGGGGAAAACACAACAGATTCTTTTAGCAATAGTTGCGCCTCGGATAAACCTCATTGGCTACGATACTGCCACTGCGCAAAGTGAACAGGTTCTTAATCATATGAAAATATGTTCCACCTGGTATCAAGCAAGAAAATTCAAATTAAAACCATCTTGAGGGCGCCTGGCTGGCTCAGTTGGTTAAGCGACTGCCTTCGGCTCAGGTCTTGATCCTGGAGTCCCTGGATCGAGTCCTACATCAGGCTCCCTGCTCAGCAGGGAGTCTGCTTCTCCCTCTGACCCTCCCCCCTCGCATGTGCTCTCTCTCTCTCTCATTCTCTCTCTCAAATAAATAAATAAAATCTTTTTAAAAAAAAAACCATCTTGATATCTTTTCACATATACGAGATTGGGGGAAAAAACTGAAATGGACAATGCTGATATTGGCTAGAATGTGAGTTGACTGGAATGCTCATTTATCCAGGAGATGTGTATAATTGCACAACCATTTGGAAACAGTTTGGCATCACCTACTAAAGCTGGACATTTGTGTATTCTCATCATCAGTATACTCTCTGTTATATGCCGTAAAGAAAATCTTGTTTGAATCCATGGCAACTTTTTTTCTAAGTTTATGGAAGGCTTCATTTAATATAACAAAACTTTTAGAATAGTTAAAATGTTGAGCAAGCATAAAATAGATATATGCATCAGAAATATCATAAAATGGAATATTATATACTAGTACAAAATTAAATTTCAGCTATATACATCTAGGTAGACTAAAGAAAAATTTATGAACCAATTGGAATATGCTTCCATTTATATCCATTTCAACCTAGACAAAACTGAACTTTATATTATTTAGTGTTTAATACAAATGTAAAAAAAAAAAAGTAAAAACAAGAGGATGATCAAAATGATATTCAGAAAAGAGAATAAACTTGTTAGTAAAGAGGTGTTAGATTAAGGGATTCTAATTGACTAGTTATATTCTGTTTCTTTGGCTATGTGGTAGCTAAAAGGAAATTTATTTCTTTTTCTTTTAACTGTAATAGACACATGTTTTATATGCTGTCATATGTATATTTCATAATAAAGAATAACAAGATGTGATCCAAATTTAGTCTACTCCTACATTAATATAACACATAGTTATTGAATGCCTTTAATCTGGCATTTTATTGATGTTAAATTGAATAGATAATTCTGTTTTTTTCAAAAAGCTAAATATCTAGTATAGCTATAGACAAGCACACCAGAAATAACATTACAGTATTATCACAAGTTCCATGATAAACCTGTGCACAGAGAAAAGACAGTTAAACTGGTCTGGAGTTTGGAGCTTTCGTAGAAGACTTCTTATAGATGTGACAGCTGAGCTGAGCATTGAAAAATGCATGAAAAGATTTTAACCAAGAGAACAGTCCCAAGAAATGCATTCCAGGAAGAGCCAAACGTATGTGAGGAGGCAAACATCCTAGAGAAAGCAGGCTTTTTAAAGAGCTTAATAAAAGTGGTAATTTGTTGGCAATCACCATCTGATTGCCTAAGTCTTTTGGAAGGAAAAACTATTACATTCTTGAGGGGCAAAAAAAAAAAAAAAAAGAATAGTCTTAGAAGCTGTCGGACAGAATCTAGCCCTTTTCCAGCGTGGTGGCATGGTATATTCCTGTTGACGCAACACTTAAACAGGAAGCTACCAAAGGAATCAAAATTTTATAATTCATTTTTTAGCTTGATGTTATACCAACAGAGTGGGTCTGGAAAGTTGATTAGGCAAGAAACTTATGTTTTAAATTAAAACTGGTTAAACATCTTGAAAAGATAAAAGAATTTAAAAAATTCTCTTCTACTGTCTTATCAGAGAAGTAGAGCTACTCAATAAAATAGAGGAAATTATATATTAAAAATAAAAACAAAAACAAGCATTGGAGGGTTCAGAGAAGGCTACCATAAATCAGAAATAGGTTCACAAGGAAGGCAAGAAGCTAAATTAAGAAATGTATTCATCTTAACTCTAACACATCCAACTCAAAGCATGGTGATTAAAATATTGAATATCTTAAAATGGGAGAGGGAGCTTACAAAAATTGGCAAAAGAACTGAGAAAAGTTTATCCTAGAGAAGGACAGACTCAAGAGTGAAGAAAACTGGTCTCCAGTCCATCAGTCTTGGATAATTACAGTGAAGTAAATTTTGGAGTAATATGAGGAAGAACTTTCTGACTATCAGATAGCCTAAATAGATGGTGCCTGGGTGGGGCAGTTGGTTGAGTGCCTGACTCTTGGTTTTGGCTCAGGTCGTGAACTCAGGGGTTGTGAGGTTGAGCCCTGCATCGGGCTCTATGCTCAGCACAGTCTGCTTCAGATTCTCTATCTCTCTGCCCCTCCAGTTCATGTTTTTTCTCTCTCTCTCTCAAATAAATAAATAAATCTTTAAAACAAACAAACAAACAAACAAAACAACAACAAGAAAAAAAAAACAAGAATAGCCTAAATAGGAAATGAGTTTGAGTTTTCTTGGTGTGGTGAGATCTCTATCTCTAAGATTATCTTAGTAGAAACTAGATAGTTAATAGGCAGAAGTGATAATAGAGGTGTTATCAGAGGCAATGAATATTACAGTCTCTTCTAAACTATGGACTTTATCTTTTTGAGTACTGCTTTTCATGTTTTCTTTCCATATTTTTATTGTATCCATTTGTAACAGTGTTTCATGACAGAGAACTTTAAATAATGCCATTTCTGAAATGAATAAATGGTTGTATATAGAATTTTACAGAAATAGAAATACACAAATGAGCACAAGTTGTCTCTTAACTCACATGAAGTTTATAATTTGAATAGTAAAGTGTGATAAGACATGAAATACCTTTTGAGATATTCTTAATAATAAATTGTCTCAAAACTAAATTGCTATAAAAGCCATGAAGTAATTTTAGTCCTTGCCCAGGCCAGTAGCAGGAAAATGGTCCAGGTCACTGCTACTTCTGAATTCCTAGACCTAGCTGTAACTTTCCCACGTGGTAAGAATGTTGTATGAGGACACGCAAACCCTGTTGCTCAGGATTCCAGAAAAGTACAGAAAAAAATACCCTAAAAATATAGACTGTCTATGCAATTTATTTGTGATTATTGCAGAAAACACCAGGTTCGCGTGCATCAGTTGATGGGAGCCTACAAATGATAGTTACTACATAAAAGACCTTCACAACAGCAAATTGCACTTAAAATAAACCCAATACATTCTTCTGAGTCTTTAGATGACTTCAAATAGTTCAAAAAGTCAGTGAGAGTGTGCAGATTTAGTACATCACAGTGAAAAATCATGATCTAAAAATCCAACAACCCTGAAGCCAAGTATGTTTTTGCTTTCCTCTACAGAAACCAAAAATCATTCAAATCATTCATGTCCTGCATGAATTCAAGCTATAAGATGAGAAGAGTTATCCATGATTTCCAAGCCTAGGTGGTGTATTTCCTACTTGTTCTCCATCTTCAATTAAGCAGTGTTTGTTGATTTATATTCTGTCGGAAATGTTATATAAATTTGATTAAAGGGTCTCCTAAAATTTCTCTTTTAAAACCATTGGACAAGATGATCTTTATGATCCCATACAGCTCTAAATTCCATGAGATCATAAACTGTGCCTGTCTTTCACACCTCCCATTCTCACCTCTCAGAATTGCCTAACAGTACTTAAGAAATATTACTGTATAGATGAATGAATAAATAAAAGGTGAATTAATATAATTCATAGTGCTAGAGTTAAGTCCGGTAAGGCATATACAGAGCATTACCAAGAAGTATCTTTTAAATGTTTTGTTATAAACACAAGTTCATTCATTTATCAAAACTGTATCAAGTACTTTACGGTGTGCAAGTGCTATTCTGCAAGGGTGGAATACATCAGCAAACAAAGTACAAAAGCACAGACAATAAATAACAGACAAATAAATGCGTAGCTTGTAGAAGGTGATGGCCACTATAAAAATTAATCAGTAAAATGTGGAACAATGTGTAAAAGGGGCTCAAGAGGGCCCAGGCTGAGGAGGTGGTAGGTTTTAGCAATAAATAGCATGAGCTTGGAAGACTTCATTGAGAAAGTGACATATGATCAAGGATCTGAAGATGATAACCAAATCAGCCATGGAGAATACCTGGCAGAAAAGAATTCTAGGCAGAAGAAATAGCTGGTGTAATGTCTCTAAGACAGGTGCACACATGAGATACACAAAGAACAGGAGATAGGACAATGTTTCTAGACTGGGGAGAGTAAATACAGGATAGTAGAAGATACAATTTTCTTAGTCGGCTTAAGCTGCCACAAGAGAAATGTACTGTGGCTTAAACAACAGAAATGTACTTCTGACCATTCTGAAAGCCAGAAATCCCCAATCAAGGTCCAGCAGAGATGGTTTCTTATGAGAGCCCTCTTCCTGACTTAAAAATGGCCAGCTTCTCACTGTATGCTCACATGACCTTTCCTTGTTGAGTGCATGCATAGAGAAAGAGAAAGATCTCTCTCTTCCTCTTCTTATAAAAGCCTCCATTCCCAGGACCCCACCCTGATGATCTCATTTTACCTTAACTACCATCTTAAGTCCTATCTCCAAATATAGTCACCTTGGGGGTTAAAGCTTCAATATGCGAATCGGGATTGGGGGGTGATCTCCATAGCACAGATCAACAAGATAAAGTTTGGGGGCAGAGCATATCATATAGGGCCTTGTAGACCATGATAAAGACATGGGCTGAATATCTGTGGAATTTTCTATGCAAGGGAGTTTTATAATCTGTGTTCTGTCAAGCCATAGAATTTTTTCTTCCCATTATTTTTGCCTTTTTACTTAAGGGCTGAAATGGCAAGAGACAAAAGCTAAGAAGATACTCAAACTTGAGTCTCAAATGTCAACTTTGAATACTGGTTTTGAATATAATTGGAATAATTTGCCTGAACTTATTAATTGAATTCTATATCACAAACCTTGGAATTAAAGCCCTTTAATTTAACATGCAAATCTATGCAGAAGCATGCAAAACAGTATTCATAAAGCAACTGAAACATATCTTCAGACTTTACTATAGGGGTCAAATAAAG